AACTGTGATTGCATCATGGAAGTTTTGACTGAATTTTGTGATATTTCTGGACAAAAAATTAATCTTCACAAGTCAAAACTGTTTGTTTCCCCTAACTTTCCCAGGAGTGAGGCCCTTCCCCCTAGCTACCAATGTGGTATACTTCTTACTAATGATCTTGGCAAATATCTAGGTACCCCTCATCTTCATAGCAGACTTAACAGAAACCATGTTAAAGACATCATTGCTAAACTTACTAACAGGTTGTCTGGTTGGAAAGCTATAAATCTTTCTCTATCTAGCAGTGTCACGCCCCCAAACCGCCCCTAGTAGTTTGAAGCCGTGATGGCCAGTAATTCGTAATTACCGAAGGCCAACTTACAAGAATCACACACAATCAGAGTATTTATATAGGGGCTCACAAATGCGGAAGCAATAATTCAAGATACAAGTGGTCCATAAGAGCAGTGCATAGGTCAAATGAAAAGACATACATCTTTATAAGGTCTTACAACTTAAATACAATAAGGAAATAAAATACAAAACACATCTTGACCAAAAGGCTTCTCAAGCCGACATATACAAGTACAAATGAAAAATACGCCGAGAAGCATGATCTTCAAGATGGTGCAAAAAAAAAGAGTGCAGTTGCATTATAGTCCCCTGCAGCTATGGACTTTCAAGACAAGAGTGCAGTTGCATTATAGTCCCCTGCAGCTATGGACTTTCAAGACAAGAGTGCAGTTGCTTTATAGTCCCCTGCAGCTAAGGACTTTGAAGACAAGAGTGCAGTTGCATTATAGTCCCCTGCAGCTATGGACTTTCAAGACAAGAGTGCAGTTGCTTTATAGTCCCCTGCAGCTAAGGACTTTGAAGACAAGAGTGCAGTTGCATTATAGTCCCCTGCAGCTATGGACTTTCAAGACAAGAGTGCAGTTGCTTTATAGTCCCCTGCAGCTAAGGACTTTCAAGACAAGAGTGCAGTTGCATTATAGTCCCCTGCAACTAAGGACTTTCAAGACAAGAGTGCAGTTGCATTATAGTCCCCTGCAACTAAGGACTTTCAAGACGAGTCATCAAAACAAGATAGCATTTGATATACAAAATAGGGATAGTCATTCATGCTAGATCAAGTACTTTTCAAAACAAGGCAAGACAAGATTTATGAAAGCAAGTGTAACATAGCTTTATTAAAAATACTACTCACTTAATTCTTCAAACGTCGGGGTCAAGCAAGGTCCGAGTCCTACAATCACATAGCAAGGCGTACTTGAATATTTTCCTCAAAACAAGTCTATCATGCATGCAAATGATTTTGGAAAACATACTGGGCACCAACCAGGTCTAAGCCGAGGTTCCACACCTCTTCGCCGAGGTGTGTTCCCGAGGGCCACATGCAAGGAAAAGAGATCGGGAAATTCTGGGTTCCCCTCCGCTGATGAACATGAAGAACATGAGTGTGAAACATGAAAAATATGGATGTTCGATCACAATCTGTTATCACAAATCCGGGATTTTCGTGCTATGAGTTTGAAAACGTGGACCTGGGTACCCGTAGTTGAAAATCATGTAAGAACAAACACAAAACACGAGTCTAGGCAAAAAGCTTTCGGATCAAAACAAGACTTTTCTTGAAGAACACATGAATGCCATTTTCTCTTTCTAAAATCGAGCTTCAAAACGATGTATGGTTTACAAATCATGTCCGATCATGCAATGCAATAACATAAACATAGAGAACATCATGAGTAGATCAAGAATCTAACCTTAGAACGCGGATCTAACGGTTGGATCTCTAGGAATCAAGCTTGAGGATCTACTTCCTCACTCTAAAACTCTTTCTTCCTCTTCTAGAGCTTCTCTCTACAAGACAAGGTTATGATACTAAATGATAGTTTTCTATACTCGGTTCTGGGGTTAACACTCTGCTAAGACACGTGGCGGCGACTGGTTGGGTTCCTCCTGAAAAGGTGGCTGACAGACCAGACAAAGCATGGTGGAAAGGGTGTTCAACAAGCAAACGGTATGGGCTCTCTGATAGACCAGACAAAGCATGGTGGAAAGGGTGTTCAACAAGCAAAGCGGTATGGGCTCTCTGACGAGGCAATGACATCGGCTAACAACAAGGCGTATCTAACACGCTACACGGAATGGCACTCCGGCAAGGGATGTCATCGGCTAACAAAAGGACTTCGGCAACTAAGGCGACAATGACCTCGGCTAGGAAGGAAAACACTTGACTAAGCTGTGCCACATCTTGGCCTAGATGCGCCACACCTCGGCCTAGGTCGTACCATTCCAGGACGATATCACTTGGGTACAGGGTAACATCTCGGCTAATGTGGTCAAGGCAAGGACGGAGGTCAACAAGGGGTTCCAAGATATTATTACTAGACTAAGGGATGACCTCGGCTAGGAATAACATCGGCTAGCATAACTCAGGCAAGGCGCGACCTAAGTTTCACATCAAGGAAGGAACAAGACAAGCATACTACACTTAGACAAATCACAAGGCTTCAAACAAGGCATGGAGCACATTAGCTCAAACGAAACAAGTCACAACATACACATGCAAGCTAAACAAGTCATAATCATACCGATGCTCATGAACATGATGAGGACATGAAATGTGGGTTCCTACAAGCAGAATTACTCTTGTGAAATCAGTTACTTCAGTTATCCCTAACCATCTTATGCAAACTATGGAAATTCCTAGAAATATTTGTGACAAAATAGATAATTTAAACAGGAACTTCATTTGGGGCAGTACTGACACTGCCAGAAAAGTCCATCTTATGAATTGGAATCAAGTTTGCAAAAGTAAGAAACAAGGTGGGTTGGGCATCAGGAAAACTAGAGAGCAAAACTCTGCTTTAATTTCTAAACTAGGTTGGAAAATTGCTAGCAATGCTGAGAACCTTTGGTGTAATGTCCTCAAATCTAAATATCTTCAACATCATTCCATTTCCAACTGGCCCATAAAGAGGAATGCATCTCATACTTGGAAGAGTATAATTAAAAACAAGGAGGTCTTAGAGGCTAATATCAAATGGAATGTAGGGAATGAGAAGAACATTGCACTCTGGACTGATTAGTGGTGTGGCACTCAACCTTTGTGTAACACTAATCAAAGCTCTAATATTGACTATAACACGATATTTAGTTCTATTCTTGATGAAGAAGGGAATTGGGATCTGACCACAATCCAGCACCTCATCTCACTACAGGACAATGATAACATCCTTAGTATCTACAGATCAAGATTTGTGACTTTCATGGACACTCCAACTTGGCAAAGAACCACAAATGATAACTTCTCTACATTTGCAGCCTACAATGCTCTTACTAAACAAGATGAAAATGAAGTTGATTAGCACTAGATATGGCAAATGAAAGCCCCTCAAAAGCTTAAAACCTTTCTTTGGTTAGCCATGTATGGTGGACTTCTTACAAACCAGATGAGACTCACAAGAAAACTTATTGATTCTGATATCTGCCACAGATGCCAAAGTCACAGAGAAGACATGATACATTTGCTTGGAGGTTGCCCCAAAGCTAAAGCCATATGGCTTCAGTTGAAAGGTCTCCATTGGTAGATCATAGAAGACAACAAGTCACTAGCTGAATGGCTCAAATCCAACTTGAAATGTAAAGGAAAGATAACTGATCTCCAATGGCCAACAACTTTCTTAACAGCTATCTGGAACATATGGAAAGATAGGAATAAGGAGGTGTTTGACAATCAAATTCAACCTGCCCATGTCAGTACAACAAGAATCCTCCAACAGGCCAAATAAATACATGAAACATTTCAAAACCCCCTTTATTCTAATTACTTAGAACTAAGACTAATTGATTGGTCTGCTCTTTTTGTAGGGAATTTTCTTCACTCACTTTGTGTAAAGAAGTTCTAAAGGTAATCCAGGTTAGTCCGGTTATAGAGGATTGTTGAGGGATGGAACAGGTACCTGGCTGTGGGGCTACCATGAATACCTAGGAAACTGCACAAGCTTGGAAGTTGAACTTTGGGGACTTTACAAAGGTCTCACAATCATCATGCAAAAAGGACTGGCCAACATAGAGCTGGAGACAGATTCCCAGCTTGCCATGAAGCTAATTCAGGATGAAGCTGAAAGTTCATCCCCCTATAGAGCACTGATTGAGGACGCCAATTTCATGTTGAAGAGATGCAAGTGTAGCATCAAATATATCCCAAGAGAAGCAAATCAATGTGCAGATGCACTTGCCAACATTGGAGTCAACCAATCTGAGCACCTGGTGTTCCTTGATGACCCTCCTAGCTCTATGTCTTCTCTTCTGATTGCAAACATAGTTTCTTCTAGTGTAGCTAGGGTCTGATGGCCTTTGTTTGATTATTTGTTTGTACCTAAACTCTGTTACTTTATTCTTTTTTCACTTGAATCAAAAAAAAGAAAAAAAAAAAGAAAAAAAAAAGAAGAAACTAAAAACCGGTTCAAAGTTATTCTCATGCTTTTGATTAGAGTATAACTCCACGGTCCAACCAAGCGAACCAAATAGGGTTTCGTTCAAAAAGTATTAGAGACCTCAAAAATTCTATTAAAAGTTTTATCAAATGTCTCACGTGTGATGTGGGACTCACATAGGACCTACTTGTGTGGGTCCCACACCCATGAGAGACATTTGATAAATTTTTTGAAATTTCTAACATTTTTTTTTCGTTTCTATTTCGCTTAATCAAAATAGTTATGCTAGAGATTTTAAATATTCTATCAAATCTCTTATATATACACATGTGAATTTGTATGAGACCCACTTATATAAGAGGTTTGATAGAATATTTGGTCGGTGGTGTTACATGTACTAATTAATATACTAACTAGTAACTAGTATATCAACACTATTTATAATATTATTATTAATATTACTCATTAATCATATTTTAACTACCAAAAATTTTTTAAATTATGTCATATTATGAGTTTATACATACCGTGCATATGACATTTTATTCATATTTGGTACATAGCATTTCTCTAATAAAAAACACGAAGAACAGTAAGGCCAAGTTTGGGAAGACTAAATAAGTGCACTTTTTGTCTTTTTGGACTAAAAAATTGAGATTGAAAATATGGATGTTTGGGTTAACTTTTTGACTTTTTATGGAAAAATGTGTAATAAAAAATTGTAAAAATTGGTTTGTAGAGGAAAATTTGAATTGGGAGTAGTGCAGCCGTAATTGTTGACTTTTGGTGAATAATGTTAACTTTTTAACTTTTTGAGTAACTTTTTGACTTTTTGACTTATTTGGACTTCCCAAACTTAGCCTAAATATAAATAAATAAATAAATAAAATCTACACAAACCCTTCAAAACCTCCCAATCCACACTCTCAATCTCACTTCCAATCCCCAATAATCCCAATCCATGAGCCGCTACGACAGCCGCTCCGCCGACCCCGGCTCCTACCGCGACCGCCGAACGTAACCCTAGCTCTCTCTCTCTCTCTCTCTCTCTAGGGTTTTAGCTGAATTTATTGTAATTTCACGTGAATTCGTGTGTTTTTGCAGTGATTCAGGGTTTGGTGGTGCTTCGAGTTACAGTGGAGCTCGTTCATCGTCGAAGAAGGACTACGATGGGGCAGAGTCACCGCGCAAGTTGGATTTGGATGGGTTGACTCCGTTCGAGAAGAATTTCTACACAGAGTCGCCTGCTGTGGCAGCAATGTCGGAGAGTGAAGCTGAGGAGTATCGGAAGCGAAGGGAAATCACCGTTGAAGGCCGGGATGTGCCCAAGCCTGTCAAGGCTTTCAGGGACGTTGGGTTTCCAGGTAAATTTGTGTGGTGTTGTAATGAAAGACTCTATTTTTATTGCAGCATGAGAATTATGAAATTGTGGGTTTTGTTTTACCGCTCTGATGATATTGTGTGTTGGATATAGTGTTCAATTTTGTACCAAAAAGCAGAATGTGTACTTTGTTTGGATTTATATTTTTTGGAAAAATCAAATTAAAAAAAGGCTAAAGTAATTGGGGAAAAAAATTTGTTCGCAAAATAATTGGGAACGATTCCATCTTTGGAGAGAAATGAAATGATCGAACAACACTAGTTAATGGGGATTGGCGAGAGAAGGCACGAACTTCTGTGGAGATGACTTTCTTTTGAGTGATGAGCATATTTATTGGGGCTTTTTATATTATTCATTTGGCTAACTAATCAATGTTAGCTTTGTTGCTTTAGATGATGGTATGTGTTATTTGTCAAAGCCCCATTTGAATTCATGGAAAACAATATGAATTACATCATACTGGCTTATTTTCAAATTTTAATTTTAGAGTTGAGATGGTGCAACTATGGAGATAGTTTTGTTGTTGTTATTAGCATTCTTATGTGGTTCTCCTGAATTGGATTGTTTCTCCCTTTATGCAATGAACTCCCAAAATTCAGCTGAAGAAAATGGAGTAGGGGGTTTGAGCAATAACACAATGCAATTGAACATGAATAGAGGAATAACAATTCTCCATGTTAGAATAAAAATAAAAAAATAAAAAAAAAACCTGAAGTGATTTTGAAATATATAGACAGATGCCCAAAACGAAACTATGTAGAGAACTACTGGTTCTTCTTCTTCTTCTCATGCTTTCATGGCAATACTTACATCTTGCAGTAACTACATTTCTGGTCATATACTTCTAGCTACTCCATCGTATCTCGGTGATACTAACTCTCATATTAAATAAAATTTTGAAAATAAAATGACTACTTTTTTGATATTTAAGGGCTAATATGTCCTTGAAGTCTAACTATTGTATACATGTATACCTTTATGACTCCAGAATACGTCATTCAAGAAATTGTAAAAGCTGGCTTTACTGAACCCACACCTATTCAAGCTCAAGGATGGCCAATGGCTTTAAAGGGCCGTGATCTAGTTGGAATTGCTGAAACAGGTTCAGGAAAGACACTTGCCTACCTATTGCCTGCAATTGTCCATGTCAATGCTCAGCCAATTTTAGGTAATCCTAGTTTTTTCCTACACCTTTAGTTTTGGTTTGGTATGCCTTTGTTTTTTATTGGCACTCTGTGAGCACAGATATTAATATATTTCCCATATTTTCTCAGCTCCTGGAGATGGTCCCATTGTGTTAGTTTTAGCTCCAACCCGCGAACTTGCTGTTCAGATACAGCAAGAAGCTACAAAGTTTGGTGCATCATCAAGGATTAAAAATACCTGCATATATGGTGGGGTTCCAAAGGGGCCCCAAGTTCGTGATCTCCAGAAAGGTAGGTGGTGATTAAGTTCAAGATGACTTAACTGCTGTATCGTGATACACATGAATCGGGTATATCCTATTGCTTCCTTTTTAATATTCTTATCCTTGTAATCCTCTTCCTCTTCCTTCTCCGCCTCATCCTTTTCCCCCCCCTTTGGCTTAGGTGTTGAAATTGTTATAGCTACTCCTGGAAGGTTGATTGATATGATGGAATCTCATCATACGAACTTGCGAAGGGTTACATACCTTGTGTTGGATGAGGCAGATCGAATGCTTGACATGGGCTTTGATCCTCAGATTCGAAAAATTGTTTCTCAGGTTTGTTTGATTTTTGTTCTGCTTCATTGTTATATTTTTATTATTATCTTAATTACTGAGAAGCATTTTCTATTTATGTAATTGATTCCCCCTTTCCTTCTTGGGTTTATATATATTTTGCTAGTATCATTTTTGATGTGAAGTCTTTTTGCAAAATTGAGAAATTTACTGATTTCCAAAGAAAAAGGGATGTATCTTTGCACATTGTGACATTGCTATGATTTAAGGAGGATGATTCAGAAAGCACTGTAGCAGCTAATGTTCCACCGCCTCAGGTGTGACCTGTAATTATGTACAACAATATTATACATTTGGCCTTGGACACCTGTTGTTTCACAAATCTTTGACTGTTTTCAGAAGTTAACTAATTTTTGAGATGTTAAGGCCTCGTTTGGGAACAGGTTTTTTTAGTAACTTTTTGGCTTTTTGGCTAAAATATGATGTAAAAAAAACTAGTATGTTTAAGATGACTTTTTGATTTTTTACGAAAAGATGTGCAAAAAGTAGAGAGAAAAGAGAATCTTTGACTTTTTTGTATAAGTTATTGACTTTTTGATTTGTTTAATAACTTTTTTGGCTTTTAGGCTAAAAGAGACAGTTCCCAAACGAGGCCTAAGTTGTGTTATTAGTCATTAGGAGTTTTCTGTTGTTAAACAATTGGGATTAGATATTCAAACTTTCTTATTTGAAGGAGACTATTCTTGTAGTTTCCTTCATGTTGAATGCATTGTCATTCATTCTTTAATGTGCTAATGCTAAATATAGGATTGTGTTGGAATAAAGGCTGTAATGAGTAGATGTGTGATATTCTACTAGCCGTGACAAGAAAAATTAACCCGATTTGAGCTTAAATATTTGGTGAGCCCCTCTTATAAAATACATATATGTTACAAGCCTCCTTCATGGTCACTTGCAATCAAGAGGCTTTGGTGTAGCAACATGTGCTTTATGGCTCCTAGTTATCATACATCTATGTGTTGTTACTTGATGGATAGTATCTGTTACACCATTCCTTGATGTGACATCACTCCCCTAATTCTTGATAATTAGGGTTCGTTTGGGAAGTGGGTTACTTTTTGGCTTTTTAGTTATTTTAGCCTAGGACTAAAAAGTCTCGTTTGGGAAGGGCTTTTTAGTTTTTTTGACTTTTTGTGAGATAAAGAATATAATGATTATGGGTTGGATGCGATGTTTTGTCTTATTGGATTAAAAAGCCTATTTTGTCTTTTTGTGGCTAAAATAGCCCCCAAACCCAACCCAACTCAACCATTCTTCCCAAATGAAGCCTTAATTAAATATTTTTGGCATGCAATTCATGTTCTTATGGTTGGGCAAACTAATTATAGTGCCAGTTTAAAAGTTGTTGAAGTTTGATTTTAATTTCATTTCATTTGGTTTGGTTTTGGCCATCCATTAGATTTGATAACCTAGAAAGATTGTGATAGAATGTCTTCCTCTCATCGAAAGCCTTTTGCCGAGCTTATATAGGCTCTGTTTGGAAGAGCTTTGGAATTGTAATTCCATCTCTTGGTTTGCATGTGGTGTTTGGTTATAGTTTTCAAAAATTAATTCTACACTCACTTTTGAAAACTTATTTCCATGCGGAAAAATTTGGCTAAGCCAGTTGTCCCCTGGACATTCGGCTGGTTGACCGGAACAGTGTACGTTTTTTATTTTATTTTTTATTTTTTTGCACCTATTATTTTTATATTTTAAATAAAAAATATTTTCAAATTCTTTTTAAATTTTTTGAGCTTTGAATAGGATTTTGGATTGTGTGTTTGGTTATGAGTTGTAAGTTTTTGAATTAAATGTTATATGTCACATCATTCATTTCAAACTTAATTCAAAACTCATAACCAAACAAATTTTCCATACTCAAATCATAATTCCAAAAATCAAAAACTCAAAATACAACTCTATTCTCAAATCATATTTAGAAAACTCTACCGAACACTACCATAGTTTTTTTTTTTCCTTCGATTTGCCGAGTTTATATAGTTACATGCACTGTTACATAACTCTTCGTGTTCACGAGATACAAAAAGGTTAAGTGTATAGGATATTTGTTCCACCCCTGTACTCTTCTATTTTTTTCCTAAATAGCAATGAAGTTTTTCAAAGTATTAGGAGAGGCAATCTTCTTGCCATTTTTGCATAAGTGGCTGATTATGTGCCCATGGCCTGCGATGTTCATTGCTTCTCAGTTATGTTCAATCTTATCCTTGGTGTCTCGACAAGTTGGCATTGGTTTATATTATACTCTCTCCATCTGACATTGTTATTATTTTTTTCAAATTTGGGAAGTCCCAAAATGCTAGTCATCTTTGAAAAGTTAAAAATTTACAAATTTTCAGAGCTATACCTTATAAGTGACTATGAATATATTTAACAGTGGGAATAAGGGATAATTTGGAAACCAATGCCTTTTTATTTGAATATAAATACATTAATTGCATGCGCCCTTAAAAAGTTGGAACTCCCAAATGGAATTAACATTGTGAGACGGAGGGAGTACTAGTTTTTATATTTTTTGGTTGGAGGCATCTCTAATTAAAATAAATCTGCAAGCGGATTGGGAGGTGTGGATATTATGTGTGGTTACTGCATCATGTGCTTAAGATTGGAGCTTTTGTGCTTGGTAAAAATTTTGGACTAACTTGTGGCTTTTCTTGAATATTTCATCACTGTGGTTCTGATGATTTAATTTTTAGATGATTTAAATAGTTCCAGTAATAACATCTTCTATTAGAATGATGACAGCACCATCATCTCTGATGCTTAGCTTGAGCTGAGTGAGTTTAATCAAGGGCATACTACTGTTGTATAGGCTTAGCTCTCTCTCTCTCTCTCTCTCTCTCAATGTGTGAGTGTGCAGTGTGCACGCACCCAACTGTTCTTACTTTTTCAATGGTTTGTTCTATGCAGATTCGCCCAGATCGTCAAACCTTGTATTGGAGCGCTACGTGGCCCAAGGAGGTTGAACAACTTGCGAGAAAATTCCTTTACAACCCATACAAAGTAAGATTTTTTTCAGTACATTATGATTTTATGGACTTGTTGGCAAGCACCTAACTGTGGGCAATATATTTTTGCTTGATTTTTTGACACTTCATGTAGTTCTCAATCCTGCTATGTGGCTGGCTGTACTTTAGGACTATTAAGTCATTTCCTCGAAATGTGTGAATTATTTTATCCACAATACTCTCAACATCTTTAATTTTAAATGCATGCATGTATATATATGTATGTGCAACTTCTCCAGATGAAGTGTTCTGGTTTGCAACAGCAAGAATTCCTGGATCTTGGCGCTTCCTGGGAATCTGACTTAACTGTTTTGGCTCTTCCTTCAAATGTTATTGATACACATTTGTTTTACTTGTTCTCTCCTTGTACTCCATACAGGTTATTATAGGTTCTCAAGATTTGAAAGCTAACCATGCAATTCGCCAGCATGTGGAAATTGTTTCTGAGAATCAGAAATATAACAAGTAGGACTAAATTATTTTGGTGTTTTATTTCCATTAGTTTTGCTGTGCTTCTATACATGTAGGACTTTATGCAGGTCTTGTTTTACTAGTATTTGTTACTAAATTCAGATTAGTTAAGTTGCTGGAGGATATTATGGATGGTAGCCGGATTCTGATATTCATGGATACAAAGAAAGGGTGTGACCAGATCACTAGGCAGCTTCGCATGGATGGCTGGCCTGCTCTCTCTATTCATGGAGATAAGTCTCAAGCGGAGAGGGATTGGGTCCTTTCGGAGTTCAAAGCTGGCAAGAGTCCTATAATGACTGCAACAGATGTTGCAGCTCGTGGTTTAGGTGCGTATAGTGTCCTTGTTCTTTCTTATACCATAATCTGCATTGTTTATCCTGGTAATTTCTTTATTGTTTTTATTATGCTGAAGCTTTTTCATATGAGATAAAGGACATTACCTAGTGTTGGTTTCCGTTAATCAGGAGTGCTGGAAAGGATGGATGTATACGTACATGTCATTTTGGTATTTGTTGGGCAAAGAAGTTTCCCTTATATTTGTACTAAAAGTTTCAAGCTTGATACCAAAGCTTTATCACCCTGAGCATTTGCATATCCAATTAAGACCTCGTTTGAGAACATGCTATTTTAGTAACTTTTTGACTTTTTGGCTAAAATATGAGGTAAAAAAAAGCTTGTATGTTTGGAATGACTTTTTGGTTTTTTACGAAAAGATGTGCAAAAATTAGAGATAAAATGGAATCTGACTTTTTGGTAAGGTTATAGGCTTTTTGGTTTTTTTAGTAACTTTTTGACTTTTAGGCTAAAACTATTACTTCCCAAATGAGGCCTAAATATGTATGAAATTTTTTATGCAACCTTTTGTTTAATTAGAATTAAATCAAGGGCAAATTTCCCTGTACCTCCGTTCCTGTTGTTAGGGCCATGTTCACATAACCCCCTAACATTCATAAATAAGTACTCAACTCCCTATGGTTTTTGGACTATAGTACACTACTAACTTTCATTAATGGTACTAGTACAATTGATTTCAATACCCTCATCTTCTTTCTTTTCTTTGTGAATGATTTTCTTCCCACTCCCTACCGCCACCACTGTTCATCTCCCCTTGGCTCCTCCCAAAGGTGATCTTATGTTTATAATAAAATTTTATTTAATTATTAGTTACAATCTGATTCTGAATCATCTCTTTTGTGAAGTGGTATGGTATACATGAAGCAAGCAATCATGAGGACCAAGATTTTTATCTTCATCCAGAATCTGTGACTAATATAAAACACAAGCTGGTAGCAATATAACAATAATTTTTAGTTTGTCGGTACTCAGGACCTATCATCTATGTTGTTTGTAGCTATATCTTTTGATCAGTAATTTCTTAACATTGTCTTGAATCAACCCAAAAAATAAGGGTTGGTTTGGGATGTTCTAAAAAAGTGCACTTATTGGCTTATATGGGTTGGGGTTGGGTTTGGGTTGTGTTGGGTTTGATGTGATGTGTTAGAGAGGTGATGTGATTTAAATAAGATGATGTGACTTAAATAGGATAGTGACTTTTTGACTTTTTGTATTATTTAGTAGATGCCAAACTTGGCCTAAAAAAAAAATCTTAGGATGTTGTCTCACTCTTACCTTATTTATGGTATTATCCACACTGTTGTCGTATTGGAGTATCTCTTGTTTATTTCTGTAACTTCTCCTCGGTGGAAAGGGTTAGAAGATATATCGATGTGAAGTAAGAAACATTGGAGACTTAGGTTTATATATATATATATAATTGCCAGTTTTTTAGGAGAAAGGAGGGGTTTTGAATTTGAATCCTGGACTTACTTCAGAAGTAGTAATTCTCATTTGCTTTGACCTTATTCTAAAATGGTGTCAGATGTGAAGGATGTGAAATATGTGATCAACTATGACTTCCCTGGATCGCTGGAGGATTATGTTCACCGCATTGGCCGAACAGGAAGAGCTGGGGCCAAAGGAACAGCATACACTTTTTTCACAGCTGCAAATGCCAGATTTGCAAAAGACCTTATAGTTATCCTTGAGGAAGCTGGACAGAAGGTCAGTCCTGAGCTGGCAGCAATGGGTCGTGGTGCACCTCCTCCTCCAGGTTAGTTGATTGGCATGATTATATTTTTGGTTGCCAACTCGCACGCATTCGGACACATGATTTGGTTGTCGATGGGATTAGAGTTGACAAAGCCAGATACGTCTTGAGAAGTTTAGACAACCCTGAAATTATTTTTGTTGATATTTAAGTTCAGGCAGTGTTAGCAGAGAATGCCAACACCCTAGTGATTTACGTTTTGGAACACATTTTCCAAAACATGTACACTTGTGTTCTAAACTGGTGAATATAATGATCCATAGTGATGCCACAAAGTTGTCTATGTTTTTCATTAAGAGTTCTCCTTAATAGGGAAAAAGTCGAATATAATGAACCAAAATTCTAGATGGAGTGGAGTTTTGGATTGACAAAATGTAAAACAATATCATAATGATCATAACTATGTTGTTGAATTGGGCCCTATTGCTGTACCCAAAAAAAAAGAATTGGGCCCTTTTTAACTTCAGGCCCAATAAGTAAGCAAATTTTTTTGGGCCTAGTACAAGGAGCAAATATTTTTGAGACACTGAATGTCATTAAAAATTTTGGAGGCTCTAGGTGGCGGTGTCCTTGCCCGCCTATGCCTAGGGCCAACCCTGAAGTTAAGGAGACTCAGAACTTGAGTCTGTTGGCGCAACATGACCTAAGCTGTGTTTTGTAATCATTACTGCATCATTTTTGGTCTAAGACAGTATCATCAATAAGACAGTTGCATCCATAACTTGCTGACTTGCTGTGCGTATATGTGCGCACGTGCACATGGATTTAATTGTGTACTGAGAATTTTTTTTGTTGTTGCTTTTCAATGATTAGGTCATGGGGGTTTTCGAGACCGTGGGCGGGGATACGGTGGTGGTCGCCCTTGGAGCTAATGAAACTCGGCTATGAACAGGATGCCAGCAAGGAATAACAATGGTGTTACTCGCACTGTCATGTTGACTTGTAGTTGGTGTTGCTTTGTGGATAGCACATACTTGCTGGAGTCCCATTGAGTAGTTCTGTTAAGTTGGTGGATTCTCATTTGTAAAATTAAAGAAGACTCTTTTGTGTTCAAGGGGAGTGCCCTTGCATCTTTTGCCCATATGAACTGGATACCCTAGGATTGATTTATCTCTGTAAGATAAACACCAATTTACATTTTTTCCCAAGTTCTCAGATTTGCTTCCATGTTAACATCTTTGTGTGTTTCTTTTGGGGAGGGGGGTAACACAATTGGGAAAGACTTTACATCTCTTGAATGTTTAGTAAAATGCATGGTTCTGACCAACTGAACTAGTTTGATTGTGCACGGGTGATAATCATTGTCACTTTGTTAAATTATAGAAAGGTTTCATTATGAGAGGAACATGGTAGTGCGATTAGGATATATGATATTTTGTTTGGTATGTGGGATGATCAATTACTTGTCCATTGAATAAGTGGTTAGGATATATGATCTTTTGTTTGGTAAGTGAGATGATCAATTACTTGTCCATTGAGTAAGTGGTTAACCAAGCGAAACCAACCCAAGAATCAGTCAAGGGCTGAAGATTGTGCAACCCCAACTCAAGGTCATGGGTATAAAATGAACTTACTATTCGAGTTAGACTCTGTTTGGATTTAGAAGTTTGGATGAGATTTACTCATTTAATAATTTGAACTTGTTAATTTTGGTCTCCTCAAATTCTGTTTGATAAAGCTTGTAATATATCATAAAAATTAAGCTATCTGAGTTTGGCTCAATAATGTTTGTTTGAGATTTGTAAATATGCCCACACTGAAATAATTCTCACTCGAGAAATTGTAGAAAAATAAAAATTAAAGCAAAAAATTACAAAAGCATAAGAAATATAAAATAATAATTATAAAATGTGAGAATCTATCCTTAAATGATGAAAATGATCATTCCTTGCTCTCACTATCATTCCTCTCTTTTCCTTTCTCTTTGTTGGCTTTCCCTTCCTTACCTAACCCTGTCATCGCCAATTTCACCGACATCCTTTCTAGCTTTTTTCCATGCCACCTACCACATTCTTACCCTCTTTGTTTTGTCAACCCCTCTCTTGCCATTTAAACCCAATTGCAAATCAAAACCTTTTTATGCCAAGGGTTTAGAAAGAGAAAGGAGGTTGTGATGGGGTTAGTCGTTGCGGTAAGAGGTTGATTAGGGTTTTGATATGGTTAGGGCTTTGCAAATGGGAAGAGTGGTAGGGGTAAGAAAGAATGGTGAGAAAAAAGAGAAAATAAAGGGCAAAATAGTAAAAAAGTTTTTGTAATTACATTTTCTAATCGAGGGTTGCTAAATATCCTTATCTATTTTTTTTGGACCCCAACCTTTTTTATTTTTTTATTTACAACTTTGCCCTAACATCAATTTTCATTTTTTACCACATCCTTATCTTTCAAACCCTGACCTTAATCTTAACCCCAACCCCACCTCTACCTCTACTCCATTTCGGTCGGCAGCCTTCTCATGCAGCCATTTTAGTGCCTTCCTACCAACGGCCACCCTCTCACCATCTCTCACCATCGCGATCCCCTTCTACTTCTCTCTCTCTATCTCTCTTCTTTTTTTTCTTTTTTTGGGTTCGTGGTCATTCTGCCTTCGCAAACCCCTCACCACCATGGCCGCCGAGTCCGACCTCGATCTCGGTCCCCAACCATCTTCTTTTTCTTCTTTCAAAACTCTAACCTTAGCCCTAGGGTTTTTAGAAATGGTAGCGGTGATTTGGAATTAAAGAAGACTCTTTTGTGTTCAAGGGGAGTGCCCTTGCATCTTTTGCCCATATGAACTGGATACCCTAGGATTGATTTATCTCTGTAAGATAAACACCAATTTACATTTTTTCCCAAGTTCTCAGATTTGCTTCCATGTTAACATCTTTGTGTGTTTCTTTTGGGGAGGGGGGTAACACAATTGGGAAAGACTTTACATCTCTTGAATGTTTAGTAAAATGCATGGTTCTGACCAACTGAACTAGTTTGATTGTGCACGGGCGATAATCATTGTCACTTTGTTAAATTATAGAAAGGTTTCATTACGAGAGGAAGATGGTAGTGCGATTGGGATATATGATTTTTTGTTTGGTATGTGAGATGATCAATTACTTGTCCATTGAATAAGTGGTTAGGATATATGATCTTTTGTTTGGTAAGTGAGATGATCAATTACTTTTCCATTGAATAAGTGGTTAACCAAACGAAACCAACCCAAGAATCAGTGAAGGGCTGAAGATTGTGCAACCCCAACTCAAGGTCATGGGTATAAAATGAACTTACTATTCGAGTTAGACTCTTTGAATTTAGAAGTTTGGATGAGATTTACTCATTTAATAATTTGAACTTGTTAACTTTGTTCTCCTCAAATTCTGTTTGATGAAGCTTGTAATATATCATAAAAATTAAGCTATTTGAGTTTGGCTCAATAATGTTTGTTTGAGATTTGTAAATATGCCTACACTGAAATAATTCTCACTCGAGAAATTGTAGAAAAATAAAAATTAAAGCAAAAAATTACAAAAGCATAAGAAATATAAAATGTGAGAATCTATCCTTAAATGATGAAAATGATCATTCCTTGCTCTCTCTATCATTCCTCTCTTTTCCTTTCTCTTTGTTGGCTTTCCCTTCCTTACCGAACCCTGTCATTGCCAATTTCACCCACATCCTTTCTAGCTTTTTTCCATGCCACCTACCACATTCTTACCCGCTTTGTTTTATCAACCCCTCTTTTGCCATTTAAACCCAATTGCAAATCAAAACCTTTTTATGACAAAGGTTTAGAAAGAGGAAGGAGGTTGCAATGGGGTTAGTCGTTGCGGTAAGAGGTTAATTAGGGTTTTGATATGGTTAGGGCTTTGCAGATGGGAAGAGTGGTAAGGGTAAGAAAGAATGGTGAGAAAAAAGAGAACATAAAGGGCAAAACAGTAAAAAAGTTTTTGTAATTACGTTTTTTAATCGAGGGTTGCTAAAAATCCTTATCTGTTTTTTTTGGACCCCAACCTATTTTATTTTTTTATTTACAATTTTGCCCTAACATCAATTTTCATTTTTTACCACATCCTTATCTTTCAAACCCTAACCTTAATCCGAACCCCAACCCCACCTCTACCTCTACTCCATTCCGGCCTTCTCTTGCAGCCATCTTAGTGCCTCCCCACCAACGGCCACTCTCTCATCATCGCGATCCCCTTCCACTTCTCTCTCTCTCTCTCTTCTTTTTCTTTTTTTGGGTTCGTGGTCATCCTGTCGTCGCGAACTCCTCATCACCATGGCCGCCGAGTTTGACCTCGATCTCGATCCCCAACCATCTTATTTTTCTTTTCCCAAAACTCTAACCTTAGCCCTAGGGTTTTTAGAAATGGTAGCAGTGATCTGGGTTACGATGAGAATAAAAAAAAGAGGAGGAGGAGAAGGAGGTAGTGATAACAGCGGCGGTGGATTGCGATGGGGAAAAGAAGAAGAGAAGATGAGGTAGCGAGGTGCGACAATGGTTTGTCGGAGCTGAGACAGAGGAGGTGAAGAAAAAGGAATAAGGAAGAAGAATGAAGGTAATGACAATGGTAGGACTGCCGATGATTGAGCTGCCGGAGGTGGTGGTTAGAAGTGGGGCTAGGGTTTGGGTTTAGATTTGGATTTGGATTTGGAATTATGTGCATAATTGCTATTAAGGTAGGAATTCAATGAAAAAATTGAGGGATTTCATTTTGTTAGGTAAGGATTCAAAGAGTGGAGGCAAAAACAACCCTCTTTCTAATTTATTTACTTATATATATATATATTTATTTTTTTTAAATTTCTCCTGAGTATCATTCAAAATCCTTTGTTGGCTGCCTCTATTTGCACACTGCGTTTCAACTCAAGGCACACCACTACTTAAGGCACATCTTTAGTAATTTGATAAATAAAACATTTGCTCAATACACACTACAATCTTCCATCTTTACCCTTATTTGCACACTCCACCCATAATCTTTCATTTTTACCCTCACTCACTTACTCACTCACCCACGATCTTCCATCTTCCCCTCCATTCTCTGTTACATTGTCGTGCCATTCAAAACCAGTGGTGAAGACCCATTCTCCTTCAATATCTGTTTCCTCAAAGATGTTGCCGGTGGTGCTCGTTGTTGTCATCATAGTTGGAAACAACTCCACATTAGAGATACAATAGGTGAGAATTCTCATTTGGCTTAGATTTTAGGGTTTTATGTACGTTTTTCCATTGTCATGAGCATTGTATTTGAAATTTCATTTTCTGAACCGTTCGACACTGTATTTTTGAACATTAACCATTTGTCCGAATTGATTATGTCAAACAATGTAAATTTATTTGACACTTTAGTGTCGAACATAACTAAATTATTCGGAGGTAGCTTGTCGAACATAATTATATTGTTCGAAATTAGAGTGTCGAACAAAATGTAATTGTCTAGTTCTATACTTCTGAACAGACTTATTCTTCACTGTTTTTTGTTTCATTTTCAGAAATAGATGACCCTTCTCGTATTCTACCCATTATCTCAGAGAGGTGACGTCGTGCATTAACAAATCTTACTCGTGGCTGAGGTCGAGGTCAGGGTGATGATATTGAGAGAGAAAATACGCAAGTAACGTTTCAGATACTTGGTGTGTATTGTATTTATTATAGTCCTTTATGATAATTTTACAAAAGATGTGTATAATAACCTTTTGTCCTTTGTGGTCTTGTGGTCCTTTGAGATGAAAGATGATGTGTAAATAGAGGCTCCCCTTTAACCAACTAGGCCTAGTCTAGTTGGTCATCATACCTTCTTTAGGAGGCTTAGTGCGAAGAAGGTTATGAATTCAATTCCTTTTAAGGGAGTTGAATTAAGAAAATGTAAACACTTGAGTGCTTTGCAAGAGTGAAGAGATTTTCTATTGGTGTTGATCTAATAATTGCCAATTAACATTAACCCATAAAAAAAAAATAAAAATAAAATGGAGGCTCCCCTTTGTCACGTCAATGAACGGCATCGTTCCATCCAAGTGTTGTGTTATGAAGGTCAAATACCGATGGCGATGGAGAGGTAGAGAGTCGCTACCAATACGAAGAAGATAGAGAGAGAGAGATCATCAGTATCAGCAAAGCACTTAACAATGAGTGAAAGTCCGAAGCTCTACGCCAACAAACCTAAGAAAGGTAAATATAAATACATCAATCATCACTCTCAATACTTTTCACTACTTTACAAATCAATATTATTATTCTGTTTTTTGAAAACAGATTGTTGTGGTCGGAGAAGAAGAAGAACCTTTTACTTTTCCTTTTTACATTTTGAAATGATTTGTGTTCTCTGATGTGTATTTATATATATATATATATATTTGTGTATTGACAGCGCAGCTGAAACAATCACCACCACCACAGTCGTCTTCGTCAATGGCAACTCAGCCTCCGTCGAAGCCTCCTCCGCCTCCTCAACCCCCGAAGGAATCATTCGCTCGCCGTTACAAGTTCGTTTGGCCTCTTCTCCTCGCTGTCAATATCGCCGTCGGAGGTTTCTCTCTCTCTCTCTCTCTCTCTATATATATATATATATATATGTATGTATTTATGTATGTATTTGTGAATTGTGAACTTTTTAGCGATTGGTTGAGCTAATTTATTTTTATATTCGTTTTAGATTGAAGAAAGGAAACACTAGATTTAGGGTTTAGTCGCATTTCATGTCTCAGAGAATCAGAATTTTTGGATTTGGTTGGTAAGAGCATTTCCAACCCTTCTCCAAATTTTTTATCTAATTTGATTCTAAATTTAAGTAAAAAACTTGTTTTCATATGGACTACTCTAATCATTTTATCAAATTTTCATCAAAATCTGTTTTAAATTTCCCTCTTATCCCAAATTTGATTTAAAAAAAAAAAAAATCCATTGCTTCATCTTCTTAAATTTTTATCAAACTCAAATTTGATGAATTCTTAATTCGATGAAAAAAATGACTCTCCTTTGATTTGATGGAAGGATTTGAGATGATTTTTTAGTACTTTTTCATCAAATTTGAAAGAAATGAAAAATGATGAAGGATTGGAGATTCTCTAAGTGATGCGATTGTGATTTTGGCAGAATAATGGGGAGAGATTTGAAGGACTAATTTGCTTGATTTATGGAAGCCCCACTTTGTTTGGTAGTTTTTGACCTTTATTCTTGAAATTCTATTAATCAGCCTATAAATATAGATAGATGATATATGGCTTGGTTAACAAGATAGTAATTATATTGCCTTGGGGCTTTGTGGAGGTTAGATCCCCTCAAGGTGGTCTAGTTGGAAGTCCAATCCCCTTGAAGTGATCAATTTCTCCTCTGTTCTGTAGTAGTTCTTTTATTTTTTTGGGGTGATCCTGGAGTGTTCCTATCGTTTAGTAATCTTTAATTAAGAATGGTGAGAACCAATGCTGAGTGTGTGAACTCCTCAATCAACATGGCATGTCCTTGGAGAGGAAACAAAAAGTATCGATCAACTTCTAATGTCTGCGGTGAACATTAACAAGAAGCTTGATACACTCATTAAGTGGTGAAGCTTGATACTCTCATTGAGAGATATTTAAGAATCATGACGGCTCTGCAACCAATTGATCCTCATTGCTTATGGATCACATATCATCACAACACCATGAAGATCGTGGAAAAGTAGGTCATGACGAACACTAATAACGACCACGATCACAACCACCACGTTGGGTGTTCTTGAGACTCAGACCAAGGACTTCAAAAAAATACTAAAAACTAATTTAGGCCATGTTGGACAGCCAATTTTTTGGCACAAAAAGCCAAAAAGCCACAAAAATTTTCAAAAGTCAAAAAAGCCAACATGTCATATCATACACATTAATTAACCACTTTTTTTCTCTTACAACTATCTATTCAACTAAAAAAATCATTCCAAACACACTTAGCTTTTTTCATCTCATAAAAAAATCAAAAGCCACTAAAAAAGTCAAGTTGCCAAGCGGGCACTTAGTAAAAAAATAATAAATAAAAAACACTCATCATTTTCATATAGTTTTTACATGTTTTTAGGGCAAAAAAATATATTTTTTAAATTTAAAATAGTTTTTTGGTGTTTATTCTTGTCAAACTAATATCTATTTTTTTCAAAAACATTCCATAAATTTGATTATGAAATTCAAACCAAACAAAGCCATTATTTTCAGTTTTATCCAACAGTTGGGAATATGAAACTTGAAATTGCTTCGATCAATCTTGAAAGGGAGGCAATTTAGTAGTATGACTGCTTTGAATCTAATCGACCTATTCTCATGTGGATGAATTTGTAGAAGGGTTAATGGTTCACTTTGGCCTTTTAGCTTTCAAAGTGTGCATACACCTCTACTGTCTTAGAATACCAGAGCTTGGTTTGAACGCCTTTTAAATATAGTGTGACGTTAGTCAGAACATTAATTGGTTGGGACTTTTGTTGAAGGATTGAAGCCTGAAATTCGGCATTAACTTAAATCATAACGCACGATGATGAACACAATTTCCATTGGGTACATGCAGGAAAAACGTTTGTCAAATGACGAAAGGAGATCTTTTAAAAAATTTAGCCAAAAAAATGGTTCAATAGAAATTGACACACTCAATTGCTTAAATCATGTAGAGGCCCTAAAAAATATTACATAGAATGAATTAAAGAGTGCACTAAAAAGGGGCTTTGTTGGAATTTTGATGAGAAGTGTCAAATAGGATGTCATTGCAAAGAAAAATTATTATTGATGTTTGAGTCTGTCAAGGGTGGTTCAGACAAGGAGCTTGATTGTGGTGATGTTTGTCTAGTGACATGTGCTCTTCTAAATGTTTGAAGTACCGTGTCGTACACATAACACTTGGGTAAGGGTACGGAATATGTCTTACATGTGTAGTTAGACATGCACCTAGTAGCATATGTAGGAATCCGAGTTAATCATAAAACTTTGCATAAATCCCATATTATGTATAAAATGCTATGTGGCACCTTGTGAACACCATTTTATCCTAAAAAAATAAAAGAAGTATATTAAGAAATATAAAAATTTTGTTGTTGCTCCGTGTCCTTGGACATGGAATTAGATGCACTGTACAGACATATACCCACAGTTGACACTTATACCTGAGTCTATGTAACACAGATGATTGTGCAAAGATACTTATCAACCTTTAGGAAAGGTTGTTTAAAAGTAGGGGAATGATACGATTGTGACTTTAGTTGAATAATGGGAAGAGATTTTTAGGACTAATTTGCTTTTGATTTTTTGGAAGCCACTTAGTTTGGTAGTGTTTGACGTTTATTTTATAATTTCTATTAGCTTACAGATATATGTAGTTGCTGTATGGCTTTGTATGGCTTGGTTAAAGAAAGTAGAAATAATATTGCCTTGGGGCTTTGTGGAGGTTAGATGCTCTCGAAGTGGTCTAGTTGGAGGTCCCGATCCTCTCAAAGTGATCGATTTCTTTCCATTCTCTAATCGAATTTCGCTTTTATTTTAGGGAGTGATCCTATAGTGTTTCTGTTTAGAGGGAAATTAAAATTCCCCAGGCAATACTGAAGATTCAAGAATCATTTGGCAAGACCTTTTTGTTATTCCCATTTGATTTTTTTATTTTATTTTCCACAACACTTCCTAGTGCCAAGATGAGGTTTGGTATGCTGGTAACTTGGTGGGTTGAAGTAGTAGGCAAGTATAATTTCTCTTGGAATTAGGTGATTTGAGTGAGATATTTTTGCTGTCCTGGATCTGCCGCTTACAAATCACATTATGGATGTTTTGGTTGTTGTGAGTTACTTTTCACCATTGTATATGTGAAGACAACAGACATATATACTAGTTATGCAAGAAATTGTTCACTGTAAAACTAGCAAATTGATTAGGTGGTGTGACATTGGAATATAGTAAGTGGAGTATACTCAAATTTGTTTGCAAATTGATGGGAATCTCAGTCACTTCTTATCTGACTGGGATGTAAATTTTGTAGCTTATCTGTTCATGAGGACAAAAAAGAAGGATGCAGGCGTTGAGGAAGGAGAAGTCCCAAATGTTCCTCCCACTCCAGGTCCAACAACTGCTGCTGCAGTTGTTCCAATTGGTGAAAAAACATCATTCCCTACACCCATCATAGAATCTGTGATGTTACGTGACCCAATACCAGAGAATCAGCAGCGTGAACTTTTCAAGTGGTTATTGGAAGAGAAGAGGAAGGTGAAGCCAAAAGATTCTGAAGAGAAGAAGCGTATTGATGAAGAGAAAGCCATCATTAAGCAGTTTATTCGAGCAAAATCGATTCCAAGTTTGTAATTCCTAAACATTTCTAGTTTCACAGCAATAGGAGATTCTATAATTGGAATTCTTTCCCTGTGTTCACTCTTTCTTTTGGGTTATGGTTGTTTGGGATTTGCTTCCTTTGAATATCAATACATGTGATGGAAAAAACTGGTTGAGTTTTCTTTTGTTTATTGTTTTTTTTTTTGTTGCTCGAGTTCATAGTGAAAGAACTATCTGGTCATCCTCAACCTCATTAAAGCTTTTACCTTTTCAGACTGTGACATGCATGCAGTCTTATCTAGGTCTTACATCTGCGTAGCCTTGTGATGGGAAAAAGTGGTGCTCTCGTCATCTTCTTTGAGCCATATGGCGGTTGAAGGCGGCCTCCATAAAGTTTCCTCCTTTTCCAGCAAGAAGTTTATTTCATGCTCGAGCCACCTACATTGCTGTGAACAACTTGATGTTTGGGAGCCATTCCTGAAAAGTAGTTTTCAGCTTTCAAGAGATCTTGGACAAGGAGATATTTGTCTCCCTACATGTTTCTCCTATGTGTAGAGTTCTATCTTCTCTTCTTTGTTGAGGTGACGTGGATGGTGTTATTAGATAGCCAAGGTTACTTGAGGGTAGGACACAATAAATTGAGCTATTTATGAACAAGCTTGGTGCTCGTTAAGGGCTTGGTTTGGTTCGATTTGTTTAGTAAACGGGTCGAGTTCGAGCTCGAATATTAAGCTCGTTTAGTAAACGAGTCGAGTTCGAACTCGTATAAATTCGGCTCGTTTATCTTTATTTAAATTATATAATAAATTGGAAAATTTATTGGAAAGTTTTATTTTAGAAACTTTTGTACCATTTGGTCCTACGTTTTAAATAGTTGATTGAGGAGTCCTTATTAGGTTTAGTGTGTGACTAGTAAGTCATTTTTCAAATATGGATGGGTATTGGTCAGACAGATATACCCTCACTAGTTAATTGAGGAAGTTTGCTTTTTTTTTTTTTGGAATGTGTGACAAGTATGGTGTGATACTCCAATGTACATGTATTAATGTGACATTCTAACAATGGGACAACGTGACAGGTATGATGTGACACTCTAAAATTAAAATAATTAGTAAGGAATTCACGCCACGCGTCAAAAACAATTAATAAGGAATTCATGTCTCACACTTTGCGTGTTAAAAACAGCCGAACTTTAAAAAGTTACTAGTACACTTTTCGAACAGCATGACACACAAATATCCCACCACCAAAAAACAATTAGTAAGAAATTCACATGACAGGTATAATGTGATACTCCAATATTAAAATAATTAATAAGGAATTCACGTCACGCGCCAAAAAACAATTAGTAAGGAATTCACGTCTAACACTACGCGTGTTAAAAACAACCAAACTTTAAAAAGCTACTAGTACGCTTTTCGAACAACGTAATACACAAACACCCCACCACATTTCCTATGCATAACCATGCCACATGTCCCCCAACTGTACTAACAATGGCAAAACAATCAACAAATAATTTAAGAGACTACTTAGTCACCAAAAATCATTTAGGACCTTAAGATTACAAGTTTACAAAATGGGATTTACCGGTAAATTCTCATAATAAATATATTAAATAATATATAAATATATATAACTAATAATATAAATATATTATTTAACGTTAAAACAATATTCAATTAAAAGTCTTAGGAATCCTCATATATTAAAAGCTTTAACGTTAAATATTCAATTATCTGGTGCATTTACTAATATATTAGAAAATATTCATAACATTGCTTTAATTTTTTGAATTTATTACAAATGTAGTAAAACTAATCTAAATGATCAAGCTTTAACCAAAAGTCCAAAGGATAAAACGTTATTCATCCAAGGTAGTACTATTGAAACTAATATTACAGTCCCAAAAATGATTTGTTGGAAATATATTACTCTTCCTGATGATTGGGTTACAGTTAATGAAAATTATTTCCAAAATCAACAATCTTCCACTAGTTAGGATATTCAACACATTCAATAATTCACCGATGGTTCTGTGCATATTAAATTTAATCGACTTCATAGTCAATCTTCTCGTCATAGTACTTCTAGTATCCCTACTGATACTGAAAATGATGAAATCTTTACCACCCCTCTATTTACTCGAAAAGACATGAAACTTCACCTCTGTAAACCTTCCTCACAAAACCTGCACACTACATGTAGTAAATTAAAAGGAATAGATAATTCCTCTACTTCTCAAATTAGTAACCAGTTTATTCAATCCGAACACATCTTCATGACGAAGACACTACATCACAGGATTCACCTACTCAAATTGATTTCGAAGTCGTTCCTCCTGTCAACCCACAATTATTAACTCTGAGTAAACCTTTTACTCAACATCTTAATAAACTTCATGCTGAATTTAAATCCAACATAAATAAATCCAAACGCCACACATATAGGAATACTTATGATGAAAAACAACAATCTAAAATTACCAAGAAATGGTATAAATTTATGAATCAAATCAATACTGAAATTAACTTTTTTGATTATCTAGACAATTATTATCCAAACATAAACACAATTACCAAAACTAAATGGAAAACTTCCCCTAACACTTCTGTCTCATCTAGTTACCTTTCTTTAGAAACCATTCTTATTGAACATAAAGGTACCATTGTTCATGCTTCTTCATTTAAACTTCCTGGTGAAGAATTTGAAATTTAAAAAGTCATTAAACAAAATAATTATACCAATCAAAGTTTAAAAACTATTGGTAAGCAATTAGATAAAATAGAAACTACTTTTGAAGATTACTCAATTAGTCGTACTTCTACTAGGAAATCCTTAGATAAACCTCTTATCTTATTAATCTTCATAGCACAAGGAAGCGATTAAGCCTAGTCACCCAAGATACTACTACTGTTGAAGCCATTGAAAAATTATTTACTAAAATATCTAACTCTTCTATAGATAAATGAATTACCGTCTTAACACAATAGCCACCTATTGAACCCAATAGTGACTCCGACACATCTAATGATAACATTAATCACTTAGCCCAACAATTTCAGGCCATTAATCTTAGCCGAATCACATATTTCAAAGTTAATCCTATCACTCTTACCAAAAATTGGTATACTACGCCTACACCTTCCGATCTTCAATTCGAAAAAAACTAATATTAGTAATCAATTTTCTGTTTCGGCTAAAAAATTATATGAATAGAATATAGATGGTCTTAATGAACATCAAATTTTGCAAAAATTAAATCATCTGTCTATGGTTGTAAATAGTTATCTTAGTAATTATCTTGATTACACTCAATCTGAAATTGTTACTCTGATTACCTCTGGTTTTACGGGTATGCTCAAATCTTGGTGGGATAAATATCTCACTTCTGATAAAAGAGAATTTATTCAACATGCTGTTCAATTGGATGAAAATGGTTTTCTTATCTTTGACGAAGATATAGGATCTAATACACCTGATGATATCAATACTTTAATTTATACTATAGTCAAACATTTTATTGAAACACCTACTAACATCCATTCCCGAATCCATGATCAACTCAGTAATTTAACTTGCCATACTTTAAGTGATTTTAGATGGTATAAATATATTTTTACCTCTAGAGTAATGCTTAGAGATGATTGTACTAAGTCATTTTGGAAAGAAAAATTTATCAATGGATTATCCAGTCTTTTTGCCCATAAAATTAGAGATATTCTTAGTCAACGTACTGGTATTATAGAATATGATAATTTAACTTATGGTGATATAATTAGTACAATTCAAAAAGAAGATTTAAAAATGTGCATAGATTTGGAACTTAGTCAAAAAGCTGCTAAAGACAAACATAAAGCTAAATATGAATTAGGTAACTTTTGTGAACAATATGGTTTACCTCTCGTAGCACCTTCTCGAAATAAAAATAGTAAAAAGAAATCTTCCTATAAATATTCTACTAAATATAAAAAGAAAATATTCCCTTTCTAAATCAACTGTAAATATTATATTAAACCCAAAAAGAAATATCATAAGAAATCTACTAACTTTCAGAAAAAGTCAGCATCTATCCCCAATGTTACTTGTTATAATTGTGGAAAAAATGGTCATTATTCCAATAAATGCAAAGTAAAAGGAAAAACTTAAGGCTAAACTTAACCAACTACAGATTACTGAAGAAAATCAACAACAAATATTTGACATATTTAACCTAACCAAGTCTTCCAATCAATCTCCTAATACTTCTAGTCACACATCTAGCGATACTACTCATTTCTAGTGATACTTCCACTTATTATTCTCCCAGTGAGAATACGGATGATAAAATTGAATTAGGATGTAATGATACTTGCTGTAAACAAGTCAATGTTCTTACTAAATCTCAACAAGAAGAAGATTCTTTAATAAAATTAATTAGTAAATTAGAAAATCTTGAATTAAAAGGAAAATATATGAATAAACTCAAATCTTTGCTAATGAATAAAGATAAAAAAACCTTATCAAGATAAACCTATAATTAGCTTAACCACTACTTTGGAAAGGTTTAGAAAGGATAAACATAAAGAAGTAACTTTACAAGAAAGGATAAACATAAAGAAGTAACTTTACAAGTCTTACAAAATGAGATTAACCAAATTAAATTAACTATTCAAGAATTAAAAACTAAAGATAAATCCTTAGAAGAAGAAATTGCAATATTAAAAATTAATAAAAGTCTTAGTGATTTCCAATAATCGAATAATACTTTTTCAGAAGAATCTAGTTCTAGTCCTGATCCTAGCAACATCATCTTTGATAATCGACCAACTAAATCTAATAGTGATAATCACAATGATAGTCATCGTTTAAATATTATTAATAGAATTCATATTCAAAAATGACATTTGAAAGTCAAACTAGTTATTAATGATTTTAAAATAGAAGTTATAGCCCTCATTAATACCGGCACTGATTTAAATTGTATTCAAGAAGGTTTAATCCCCACAAAATATTATCATAAAACTAGTGAACAATTAAGTTCTGCTAATGGAAGTCAAATGCATATTAAATATAAATTACCCAATGTACATATTTGTCAAAATAATGTTTGTTTTAAAATATCCTTTGTTCTAGTAAAAAATATGACTGACAATGTCATCCTAGGGAACTCCGTTTATCTTTTTACTATATACATTTACTACTACTAACC